TTTGGTAGTATAACTTGATTGGTCATATTTTTGAAGTTTCCAAATTTGCCTGAACTTATCCTTTACAAACAATCATGTTTTTACTCTGTAATAGAAAAACGTGAGGCTATATTCCATTTTGAAACCACAAGGATGCGAGGAGGAGGATACTATTGCATTTCCTTGAGCTTGGCCTTCAAATTTGTGTTTGTTTAGCTGAATGTATGTCTTTTTGCATATCTCCAGGTATTTTCATTGTCGGTGATGGAAATAGGAAATCTAATCAGTCTTGGGGCAAAAGACTCGTGTGAATTTTTTCACGATCCTTTTTTTCCTTTCTCCACTCTAATAAGAGGGAAAAACTAGCTAGCAATTTCTTTCCAGTAAGGAAATGGCAGCCCTAGTGTTTCATAGTCCAAACAATTGGCCATCTTTGTTTTGTTGCTATGCATAAAAGGGGAATCCAAGTTAGCTAGGGTTTGTTCTTTCCATGCATATTTGGTACGTTGTAGTGGACAACATAATTTACATTATTAATTTTTTTTTTTTTTGCCTTTTCTTCCATTTGACGGGGTTATTTAATTATCACTACCAAACATTCGATAAGTGAACGCTGTTGTTCTTTAGGTATCGAGACTGTTGAGAAGTTTGAAGTTTTAGCTACTAACGTACGAGTCTTTAGAAGACTCCATAATGTAGGAGCTTATAATTTGTAAATGAACAAGAAATAGAAAGGGGATCCAAGAAGAGAAGAATTGAGGGCAAAGAAAAAATATTTTTATTCATATAATAAATGATTGAATATTACAATAATTAAACCTTTTATTTATAGTGCAAAACTTACGAACTTCTACTAAACTAAAATTGAATCAAAATATCAAAACTAATTTTATCTAATTTAATTGGAATTAAACTTTATTTTAAACTTCTATCTAACTATAACACTATCTTTATCTGTATCTCAATCATTTCTCTTCGACTAAGAGAATTTGATTTTGGCGAGGTAGACTAGAATTTCATACTCCAATAAGGTTAAACTTGTGTCTTGACCAAACCAAATGTTGGTACTGAAGTACTGAACCCTTGATAATAACATATATCATGACTCATCCAAAGGGAGAGGTCTTTCTTATGAACTAAATATCAAAATTAATATTATCTAATCTAATTGAAATTAAACTCTATTTTAAATTTTGACAACGAACATGACAAGGAACAGAAAAGAAAGTGGTGCAAAGAAGAGAAAAATTGACGGCAAAGGAAATTAATTTATTCATATATTCAAGGGATGCTGTGTATGAAGGTGGTTATAAGGTTTGGATGGATGGTGTTGTGTGTATGGATTGGATGGAAAAGATTGGTTGCGGTGTTAATTTATTTTTTTGGTTTTGAGAAGGAAAGATTTGTAGGCCAAAAGAAAACGACTTGCTTTGCTTCCAAATTGACCCAAGAGTTTATAATTTGTTAACGAACAAGAAAGAGAAAGGATGTCCAAGAAAAGAAGAAATGAGGGCAAAGAAGAAATATTTTTATTCATATAATTAAGGGTTGAATAATACAACGAATAAACCCTTTATTTATAGAGCTAGAAACTGAAAAAGCAAAAATTAAACGAACTTCTACCAAACTAGAATTGTATCAAAATATTGAAATTAATCTTATCTAATAATTGGAATTAAACTCTATTTTAAACTAATATTTAAACCAATATTCTAAAATGCGTAATGCGTTGCGTTGTGATGCGTCGATGCCGATAATCAAGAATCACAAGTTTAGGCGTGTCAATGCGAAGAATAAGCGCCATAATGCGTTTCGTATTTTTAAGACATTAAATATATTTTTATATAAAAAAATAGATTTTAAATGCGTCGAGATCGAGAATCACAAGTTTCGACGTGTCAATACGAAAAATAAGCGCCATAATACTTTTCGTATTTTTAAGGTATTAAATATATTTTTATATAAAAAAATAGATTTTTTATCAAAAAAAGAAAAAAATTTAGGCGGCATAATGCGCCGCTTAGGCGGGATTAGGAGCGCCTATGCGCCACCTTTTAGAACAAAAACGCATTTTTCCACGCATACCCCGAATTCGACGTGTTTTCTCTGCGCGTCGCTCCTAGGCACACCTAGATGGCGCATTTGCGCTCATTTTAGAACATGGATTTAAACTATTAACTCTATCTTTATTTGTATCTCCATCACTAGCATTGACATAGATTTTGTTGATTGGCTTCAACAGTTAATCAAACTATCTCACAGAAGCATCCTTTACTGGTCTGGTTGTTTTTTAGCAAGCTTTGCCCCTTTTTTCTATTGATATGTCTCCAATAAAAAATCTATGGTTCCAAAAGGTCTCGTCCGTCATTTGTTTGTTTCTGGTTTATTTTAAGCAGTGATGAAGGTAGGGTCANAATCAAGAATCATAAGTTTAGGCGTGTCGATGCGAAGAATAAGCGCCATAATGAGTTTCGTATTTTTAAGGCATTAAATATATTTTTATATAAAAAAATAGATTTTTTACCCAAAAAAAAAAATAATAAAAAAATTTAGGCGGCATAATGCGCCGCCTTTTAGAACAAAAACGCATTTTTCCGCGCATACCCCGAATTCGACGCGTTTTCTCTCCGCGTTGCGCCTAGGCGCACTTAGGGGGCGCATTTGCGCTCATTTTAGAACATGGATTTAAACTATTAACTCTATCTTTATTTGTATCTCCATCACTACCATTGACATAGATTTTGTTGATTGGCTTCAACAGTTAATCAAACTATCTTTAATCAAACTATCTCACAGAAGCATCCTTTACTGGTCTGGTTGTTTTTTAGCAAGCTTTGCCCCTTTTATCTATTTTGATATGTCTCCAATAAAAAATCTATGGTTCCAAAAGATCTCGTCTCAGTAAACAAACAAAGACCAAATAATTAAGCAGTGATGAAGGTAGGGTCAGAAAAGTGTTGAAGGTGGAACCCTTGCCGGATGGTTCTGGCCACTTCTTTAACCTCAGTAATCCTTTCTCCTTCTCCTCCCTTTTTATCTACCATCTACTTTATTTCTTTCTTCATGTGAAACCATTACAATTTTATTTTTTTAATAGTTCTCTCTTTTTTTACATATAAATTATTTGATTGCTATTTTTAAATTTTTTGGATGATTTAAAGGTGTTCAGAATAAGCTCATAAATTTGGATGAGAGCATTTATATTCCCGTTACGAGGGCAGAGTTTGCTGTCTTTATATCAACATTCAATGTAAGTTGCAGTTTTTTCTGGCACCTTAAATTTTTTTCCCTAATATTTTGTGGGAAAATGTTCCTTGTCTGTTGCAGCAAGTATAAATAACCTAAATAGGTGGAGCATGTTGAAAAAGAAACGCCTAGTTTACCCAATATTAAACGTCTGGGATTAGTTTCCAATATAAAATATAATGAAAGAGCAATAACAAGAACAAAGAAGCATGCACGCTCGAGGTGGTGGGGGATGTCTACTGGGGTTGGGTCAATTTAATTGGATTCCAGCTGTGGATGAGACTAACATCTTGCTCTTCATCGTAACCACCATTATGTGTATAGGGTACATGGAAATGATAAAATGATTTTGGTGGTTTTGTCCATCCATTGTACAAACTGGTCTGCAATTGCTTTTGTAAAGTTCTTGTTATAGAGAAATGGTTACAGATGATAGAGCACGTCTGGATAAAACCTAATAAAAGTAAGTACTTTTTCAAGAAGTAAAGATTTACTTTTAAAGGACATTTGGCAAATAAAGTTTTTTAAAATTAACTTTTAAGCTTAACCAGCTCATGCATATGCATCTAGCATTGAGTTGTCCATTTCCTTGTATAGTAACTGTTGTCATGTGCATTTCCATTTCTGCATCCCATATAAGGTCTCATGGTTTTGTGCAGTATATCTTGCCATACCTTTTAGGCTGGCATACGTTTGCAAACTCCATACGACCAGAAGGTGAAAGTCGTGCTAATGCCAGATCTGGAGTAGATCATGAATGGAACAGATAGTGCTCACTGCTTCGGTATGAGGTTTGCTAGTTAAGAACAGAACTGATAGTGCTCACTGTTTTTAATCATTCCCAAACAAGCACGATGAATGGAACAGATAGTGCTCACTGTTTTTGGATTCTTGACTTTTGTAATTTTTTCTCTCCTTTTCTTCCTATTTTCTTGTTCGTCTTGCTATGTAGCATGCTTGGTGAGAAGGGCAACTGTTCCTGATAATTTTGCCAATTTAGAGGTTACCCTTTCGCAGAGGTGGTGATATTCCTAGATTATATGTTGGAACGAAGTCGTGAGGTTTTGTCGTTTTTCCATCTAATTTAGTCCACTACATCGTATTGAATGTGTACCAGTTTACTTTTGTCGAATTTAGGTTTTTCCCTTTTTAAATAAATGAAATAGTTACTTAGCGAGGAAGATTGGTTGGATTGACCCATTGTTCTGTCTTTATATACCTGTTTATGCAGAATTTGTGATTGTCTCTGCATACGTCCAATTAGCTGATCTCATTTTTTGAGAAAAGATGGTCTTAGGATTCGAATTTGTATAATGGATACTGAAAGGACCCTAACCATTATGGCTTTGATTAGCTCATAAGAATTTTTCATCTGCAGAATTTGAATATATTTTGTAGTTTAAACATAGAATTAGAAATAAATTTAACTTTCACTAATTAGAACCAGATTTCTTCCTATAAGCGCTTGAGCCTTGAGTAATTGTCTCATGATAGAATAGATTTATTGATATGTAGGCTTCAGTTTATCACAAAGGAGCTAATGGACATAGTTTTGTTTTGTATTTGTACCGAATTATTGAAGCAATCTTGTTTTTCAGTTTAACCATCAAGTGTACTGTGCAGTATTAAATACGATGAGCAATATTTGGCTTCTTTCGTTTCTTTAATACTTTGTAGTATTATGACATTGTCCCTACTCAAAACACCATGACAGAAGTGATGTATAGTAACAGGAATCAAAAGCAGAAACGGATCAACATAGTTTATCAACAGCATTACAGTTTAGTACTAAGGTTTCCGCTAAAGTTTCCACTTAGGTTTCCACTGCTTGTCCACCCTTCTTGAACTTGAATTGAATACTGCATGTGCCAAAGAACATCTTCAACTGTTGGCCGCCTGCTAGGATCTTTAGATAGGCAGTTTATGGTGATCTGAACTACAATTTTTAACGATTCATATGCAAATGTCCCTCGAATGGCAGGATCCATTAACTCTCGTAGCTTTGAGGCAGATTCTGCTAAGCTTCTTTCGAGCTGTGATAAAAAGTTGAACTGTCGTTAAACTGAAAATGAGCCAGGAGGCTATGTAAAGTGTGTTTTACGCAGTAGTGAACTGTGGATTTTAACTTACCTGGAACCTTAGGTCATCTAATTCACTCTGCGAGTTGACTGGTTTACCGGTGATAATTTCAGTTAGAATAACTCCAAGCCTATAAATATCATCCTTCTCTGGATTTCCAGTGCTGAGCATGGAGTTCTCAGTTAGACAAAAGTAAGCTAAGGAAACAAATGAAGTTTAGTAAGTTAGGAGAATCACCAACTGAGCTGATTTGAGTCATCTTGTCCATGAAGTGGGCTTTCAATACCAACCTAAAAAATAAGAATTTTTGCACATTTTGGCATTTGTCTCATTAGTATAAGCTCAAGAATTCGATTAGAATAAAAAGTTAAAATCTATGTCCCGAACATGTCTAGTATGCATGCCAAATATGCACTTGGTGTTTTGTAAGTTCTAACCCGTGATTCTATGTGATATTACCTTGGACGGCAAGGATATGTTATAGCTGCTAATTTTTGCAGTCAGACTTTCGTCCAACAGGATTGTCTCGATTTTGAGGTCATTTCCGAGGACTCCTCCGGTATGAAGGTATTGGATTCCCCTTGCGACACCCATCGCAATCCCCATTCTCTGTGGCCATTTCAGAACTTCCCTCTTTCTCCAATCTGCGAAATGGGAAACATAAATATATACGTTTATTCGGAATCAGGCTTCACTTTTTAACAGACAAGAAGGCTAATTAGATTACCGGTAAGATGATCTCTTAGTGACCCCTTGGTGACGTTTTCGAGGACAATAAAGACTGCGCTAGCCGTGTTAGGATGGTCGTGGTACGTGGTTATGCAGTGTCCGAGAACGCTGACCAAATGCCGATGCCTCAGCTTCGATATTACTTCCATGTGCTGCTGCAGAACTTGAGGTGAATGCCTCTGTTTGAGCTTCAGGCACTTCACTAGGACCACTGATCCATCTCTAAGCCAACCTTTATAGAGCTGTTGAAAATTCAAAATCGATACAGAACACATTAGCAAGAAGAAATGTATACGTACTAATTTCAATATTGGCTCGTTCGGTAAAGTTCACTTTACAGTTCCAAACATTATTAAGAAGGTGAATTAAGTTGAAAATTTTGTTCGTTATAGTGTTCACTACTGCTGCGTACGCAGACCGACTTCTTTACCTGGCCCTGGGATCCTTCCCCCACCAGATTAGATGTGTCAAAGTTGTTTGTTGCGTCTTCCATTTCCTCCAGTGTAAAAACGTGATATGGTGGAAGTCCCAGTGATGACAACCTGATTGGCCTTGGCACATACCCTAGGAAAATACATTGACAACACAAATTTAATCACATTGAATGATAAACCGGAAATTTAGAAAGCATAAATATTTCAATTATGCTACATGTACATTTTGTTTTACATTATTTTTTACATTGTGCCACATGTCAGCACATGATTTGACAGTTTAAAAAAATGCACTTTCCTGTCCTACACTTTCTGAATTCCCACCCAATGTCAAAAAAGGTGTAAATCATGGAATGTAAAATGAGTATATTTCTAAATATTTTTGTATTATTGTTAAGGATTAAGGTCTAATTCTTGCCTACGAGAGTGATAATAAACAGAAAAACAAGCAAAGACAAACACAGATTTATATGGTTTCATCCTGGATGTGAGAGTTACATTTACTGATTTACTTACCCGTACTCAAAACTGGCCTTAAAAACCCTCTATATAGTAGTTATATCAGTCGATAAGTATACAAAAAGATAAGCGTGACACATTTCGACGGGACTAATGAAAACATGGGGTTATGAACTTACTTCCATTAACCATCGGGGAGCCGCCAACATTGTTCTTCTCAATTACAAAACTATCAGATTCACATGCATCAGTACCATTTCTGTGCACTTTTCTGAAGATGGCAAGGATTAAGAACCCTAAAAGGCCTAAGATTGCCACAATTCCCCCAATAATACCAAGAACAAGGCCAAGTTTTAGGGTGGATTTCTCCTGGTTTCTTGCAGGTGGCTCAACTGCTAATGCTTCCCTGTGGCAAAACTTATACGGATGCTGATATTTCGAGCTCGAATTTGACAGACAATTCCACGCAATGCTGACCGTTCGATTTCTCGAGTTTGATGCAAGGCAAGAAGGCAATTTCCCAATCAAAAGGTTGTTAGAAATATCCACAAAAGTAAGATTCCCATTGCAAGATACATTGCCTGAAAGTGCACCACTTAACTGATTTTTTGACAGATTGATGTACTGAATTGATGGCAGAGAAAACAAGAACGAAGGGATTGGTCCGACGAGCTTATTGGAAGAAACATCGAGTACTTGAAGTCGATTAAGCTTCTTCAATTCCGAAGGAATTTCAGATCTCAAAGAATTATTTCCAAACGAGACACGTATTAGATTGTTGCCTAAGGATGGAAATTCGGGCCCGAGTTGATTGTTACTCAAATCGAGTTCTTCAAGCATTTGTAGGCCTTTCAGATCAGGAACACTTCCATTGAGCAAAGTATTCTTCAAGAGAAGGCTTCTTAAATTCTTGAAAGTGGCTATTGATGGAGGCAGGGTACCAAAAATGAAATTTGAACTGATATTAAGTACTTCAATTGATCGAAACCGGTTAACCTTAGCTGGTAATGGCCCCCATAATCCTAATGAAACAAGCGATAATTTCTTTAAATTTGAAAGTTTAGTTAGGACAGTGAAGAATGAATCCAGGGAAAAATTATCAGACAAAGTTTTCTGAGAAACTGCAAATGTTCCAGGTGACAACCTAGGAATCTCTGAAGAAAAGGTTTTGTTTCCAACTATTGTTAATTCAGTTATGTGATTGTCTGAACAGATTATAGCAAGAGAAGGGGTTTGAGGCAAATAACAAAAGCTTGTCCAGTTACTCCATTCTTGAAGAACTGGTGGATATTCAAGAAGCTGTTGAACTTGGAAAAGAATTCTAGTTTCTGTTGGTACTAATTGTGCAGTGGAAACTCGAACTGAAAGAAGAACAACGAAGAAAATACTGAAGGGAAGACAAGAAATTTCCATTTTGAAACAAGATCTGTGCCAAACTGTAAAGATCATCAGCTACACCGGGACTAAGACACGACCCAAACTCCTACGGGAGGCAGCAATGAGAAATTTCTGCAATGGGCAAAAGCCCGGCAAAACAATTAGAAAAGCTTAGGTTGCAAAATCTTGCAATTATTGTGAGAATAAAAGGGCTAGGATTTCACCTGATTCGTATACAGAATATAAGTGATCATGAGTTGTTTTTAGTACTTCATAAAGTTGTGATACAAATAGTGGCTTTCCTCTTGCTTTTTGCACCACTTGCTAATAAATGGAAAAAATCTCTTAAAAAAAAGTGAAAAGAAATAAAAAAAAAGCATGTCACAATGTCTAATCTACTGAGGAGTCGAAAAGGCTTGTTTGACAAAGTAGACGGGTGACATTGTATACTACTAATGTAAAAAAAGGTAAATTATTGTCTTTGTATTGTCTAAGAGTAATGCCATTTATCATCACTGGTCTTTAATACTGGTCTAGATGATATTACTCGTGTTATTAAATTATAGGTTCAATTAAATACAATAATTTCTCACTTATTTATTATGATCTATGACACGCTTTAACACTACTGATACTAAAGGATGAATCGCATCCTTGGCGGCCTCCACCTGCCTTGTCGTGGGCCTTGGTGAAAGAGGTAAATTGCAGGTTATGCCTCCAGGGTACATGGTGGAAGACTGTTTGTACACTTGCACTTACGCAATGGCCAAATTCATATTTCAGGATTCGAACTCTTGACGCGACAGTTTCAAGCAAAGTTGGAGTTTTTTCACCTTCCCCTTTTATAACTTGGAGATGTGTCCTGGGAGCATACACACACTACTGATACTAAATAACATTATTTATTGTCCGATCATGTATTGTCTAATGCTTGTTAGCTCTTAATGAAAAAAACTATGTAACATAATTAACAAGATTTTAGCTTTCTTTGTTCTCGGAGCAATGCTCGTATATTACAATTTCAGACATGTTTGCTGAGCAATATTCAACGGAATTGAATAGTACAGTAAATAAAATTGGACTAAGCTACAAGAACATAGATTTAAATCCCTATACTTGCCGGACAACTCATACCATAGGTGGGTGGGGCGGAGTTTTTGTCATTATTTTAATCGTGTGGGGCCACCATCATATAATATAATTTTTGAATTTCTATATAAAATTTGTGAAAAATAATCTGTAATTGAGGAATTATTCAAATTAGTGAGGATAGAATTTAATGTGGTTGACAGAGTAGAGAACTGAAGTTGAAGTTTCCATGTAAGTTGAGCTAAAATGCATTTACTAATTGAAGATGTCTGTGTCTGTCTATACACAAAAGGAAAGAAAATTAATTCCCCGTCTTGGAGTACGTAGACCACATTATTAAAATGCAGTCGGTGTTGAAATTGCATACTGTTGACGGCTAAGATGCAAAAGTCAACGGGGAATATTTAAGATTGCAGGTATCCTAGATGTTTGACTATTTTAAATTTGGTAGACTAGCATGCACTGGAAGAGTGTTCATGAGCCATATGGCATGTGAGATTGAGAAAATCGAGCTAATTAATTTGTAAATTAAGCTACTTCTACATTTCATTCGTACATTATGGTTGACATTTTATGATGTGTAATAATCGAGTTCATTGATTATTTTAAGTGTTAAAATCAAAGACTGAGCTGCTCTGCCAGGCCTGTAAAAGGCCCGTCAGAGCAAATATGAGATGAGGGTGGGTGTTTAACATTAGGGGGAGGGGGTTTTATGAGGTGGGTCCTCGTAAATTGTGTATCACGTCAATGGATGACAAACAAGATTTAAGCGTGGAAAAACTATTCATTTTTAGTAGAAGTCTAAAACTAAAATTTTTCAACTCCGCATATATCGTTGGGGTGAATTGAAAGGAGTCAACTCAATTGACTTCAAATTTTTGGAGAATGAAATTATAGTAATCTTGTGTCTTTACTCGTAACATGGCTCGCATCATATTGGAATTCATGTTAAAAAATATACAAATCCCGTTGCTATGAGAAAACATCAAATTATCCTCAAATTTCATGTTGTGAAAAAAAAGAAAAAGGAAAACAAAAAATTCAGAAGAATTGGTAGAGGGGATTCAAGAGTATTAAATGCTACATGTGAGTTGTGACTAAAGATTTTAGTGAACCAAGAAAATGACAGGTTATAAAGATTGGCACGTACATGTTACATGGAATGACCTTGGTACAAGAATTATTTTCCTGCCTCATAAGTCAGAACTCATTCATGAATTATTTTTCAATGTATAAATTCAAAAATGCTAAACGAACAGGGTCGGTGACCGACTAGAAACAGGGCGCCACCTCAACCCTTGATTTTTACTGTTGGAAATCAGATTAAGGGTCGAGATAAAGCCACCCGGCCCCCTGTTTTTGGGTTGGTCACCGACCCTGTCACTATAGCGCATCTCGTATAAATTACATTTTTCCAGCAGGGTTGAGAAGAAAACCTTATTTGGTAAAGGCACACGTCCGCGAATGGGTTTATGACAAATAAGGATTGTAAAGTAGTATCGAGTTGGACCGATGATCTTTAAGTCTAATTGCTTGCGATATTGATTACGATCTTTCGATCTTGTTTAACTTCTAACACAGCATATGAATGTTACTTGAATAATCACAAAAATTTACAGTTCAAGACTTTATAAGATTTTCAAATTTGACCACCAACAAATTGAGTCAGACATGTCCCTATGAATTGTTTGTTGCAATTTCCTCTAATATAATTTCCCTGAAGGGTTGCAGTGAAATGTCCTTTTAAGGGCGTATGACAGACAAATAATTAAGGTATTCTGTCGGTGGAAAGACAGTGTCACTAAACTATGTGCAAATGCTAGAGGCAACCTTGCTATCGCATACTTTAATGATGAAAATTAGTACCAACTACTCCATGGTTCACATCAAAAATGCATTCATTCTCTCTTTGGATTTTAGTTGTGAAGATATTTTTTAAAAATTTTGGGCCCCAAGACGAAATATTCTCTTCAAGAACATAGAAACAAATATTACAGCAATGATTCCAAGTTGCAAAGATGTGATTGATATATACATTGATATATCATGTTAATTGTTACTATAACGTCTTGTTTGACTTTGTCCACTCCGATACATACATTTATGCATTTTTTATTAAGATCGAGTCTTGATTTTTCCACGAGAAAAACATTTGATTTTGCTTCTTGTACATAAAAAATGTATATAATGATGTGGAGGAAAAATATTGGATAAAAAAATTAATTGCGTTTTAAACTGACAAATGATGGAGTGCCATGTATCATTATATAATCCATTATATAAATTTTGATATACAGGTAGCAAGATCCAAAAACATTATAGGTGTTAGCACGTAATGTGCTTGATCTATGGAATGCTTTAAAGTTTAAACATGATGTTGGTAACATTTTCAAGATTTAACAAACACATGCCATCAATGAAACTTATAATAATTAATAGTTTCAATGACAATAATTAATCGTGAAATTCATAAAAGGCCAAAGGGTAGTGGGTAGTAGGTATTAAGTATGCCTTGGGAAACTTTATCAAAAAAAAAAGTATGCCTTGGGAAAGCAAATCTATGAATTAAATAATATCATTAAATTGTAAAGCAGCATCCATTTCATATCCTCTTAAGGAGATTTTGTAATGATTAATTTTAATTCGAATCTATGAAGCTGGCAACTTCAAAAGTCAGGATTATCGGTCTATTAGGGATCAATAAAGCTATTTGTACAAAGTTGAGTTACAAATTGCATTGATAAAATTCAGACCATTGATTTCAAATACTTTAAAAATCTGTTTTAAAAATGATTAGTGTAGATGTTATTTTGTCAATCAACTTTGTAACTCAACTTTGTACATGTAGCATAACTCATTAGAGATTAGTCGCATTTTAAATAGCATAGATTTTTTTTCCCTGAGTAATTTGTTATCTTATTTTTAGTTTTGAAGAAAAATGTACCAAACCCATGTTTAAAGTTTAAGTGTCAGTTTGATCCCATTATTCTACATTATAATGAGATGAATATTAATTTTTTGAAAAATGTGTGGTTAAAAAATAAAGAAATGTTTTTCAATTTACATGAAATGTTATTTTATTGAAAAATGAGTGGCTCATAAGAAAAGAAAGAAAAATGAATTATAATTTAATGATGAATAATTGGGGCTAAAACCGGCCATGCCCTTTTTTAATCCTCGTGGCATTGAACAGGCACCGAGGCAGAAATAATAAACATGAGATCAACAATTCGTTGATTCCACGAATATCGCATTGGGATCGAAAAGATGAATCTTCTTGGAGAGTTTGTTTATTCGAAATTCACCAAAAATCAATGATGTTCGTTCATATCATAGTTAAATACCCTACAATTGAAAATAAACCCCTAAACTGTGAAAATACAAAAATAACCTCCAGTCTTTAATAACTTAAAACAAGATAATTAAATAAAGCCTATCCTAAGTTGAGATTCTATTGCACCATGATTCACCTGTTAAGCGTGATTTTACACTTATTTGAGCCACCAAAAGTTGAGAGTTGAGAATATTTTTATTATTCAGATAATTCAACAAAGGATATTATGTACGAGAAAAGGTGTAAAGGAACGAGTTTTGATAAAAAAGAATTCGGATCAACCACAGGGAGAAGTTGTCACGAGAACATTGACGACAGCAGCCAGCCATGGGGATGTAGCTGCCAATATTGGATTACCTCAAGACCAGCCACCACCATCGCCGAATGTGGATATACAGCTCTTGCGACAGAAGTTCGCTACCATGACAAACTCCGGCCGCGATATTCAGAGTTTGCAACAGGCCTTTGGGGCCATGAGCACGGACGTTACTTCGATGAGGACTGAACTGCAGAGAGTCGGGCACTTCACCTCCTCTTCCAGTCGGGATTCTCTCGTTGCTAGGCGCGAATTGGACACAATGAACGGGCGGTTGATGGTATTCAGTTGCGCACC